ATGTTTGTCATTGGTGGGTTCATTTGTATAGTCTAGATAGCATTACCGCTTTGTGATATAATTCTAAGTTTGGGATCTCAAGCACCCCTTACAATTCGAGGCATGTTAGTAGCGGGAATACCAATTTAGGGTGTCTGTAGGACCATATGTAGTCCATGAACATCACACGTAGAGTCCTAAAGAATAATTTAGGAAGAAGTATGGGTAACAAACATGTCAGTTTGTTTTATATTGATCCAACAGGACCACCTGAAGCGTGGCTTGTGCCATGACTTGAGATCTTGGGATATAGACTGCAGTAATGGTGGGAAAATCATGTCTTAAATTAGATTGGGTTTGGAAGGAAGGTAGACCCCCAGATATTTGATAGCCTTGTCAGCCCATATAAAGGTAAACTACTCTTGCAGTGATTTTTTCAGATTAGGTGTGACGTTAAGAGGGAGTATTTCACATTTAGCCAGGTAGGCTTGGAAATTAGACACTTGGTTAAATATGGAGATTTCGTGGAGTATATGGGGTTGTGTGATCGACAAAAAGTCATTGGCAAAGGCCAGCACCCTGTATTCTCCCTCTGACGTCTGAAAGCTCTGGATATGTGGATTGTCCCTAATACCTTAAAGGAAGCATCAAGAACCAAAACAAAGAAGAGTTGAGACAGGGGACACCCCTGTCTCGTGCCATTTCTGATAGAGACAGGGAGTGATAGTTGGCTATTTACTCAGACCCTTATACTTGATGAGGAATATAATGTCCCCAGCCACTTCAGACAATTGGGGCTGAAACCCATGTGTTTCAAAGTGGCCATTAATAGGGACCAGTCCACCCTGTCAAATGCCTTCTCAACATCTATATATTTGTATGGTTTTGTTAATTTATTTATTATTATGGAAAAAAATCTGTTATTTGCACTTTTTTTGTAATTGTATTTATTGAAATTGTAAAAAGGAACATTCCTGCATTGTGTTAAGAGTACAACATTTTGTCTTACTCATACAAATAGTTTTTGTTATTTTATTAAAACAAGTGATGCGTATTTTGCAAAGCCAGTGATAGAGTAGGAGTTTAATACATGTGTTTTAGCATCTGCAGCACACATAAAGCCATCCAATTTAAGTTAAAGGGACACGCCACCTCCTAGGGTTTCTGTGGCTGTTCAATCACAGACTTCCCAATGCAGCTCAATGAGAAGTCTTTGCAAGGCAGGTGCTCTGGGCAGTTGCTGCCTCTAGAGTTCAGTGCAAATAAGCAAACCTAACCAGGAACTAACAGGACCTGGTGCCTGCTTGAAAAGATAGGGGGTGTAAGCAGGTTAAATTATAAAAGTGTAAATTTCTATTGAAATAAGCACATTTTGCAAAATGGAAAAAAGAGGACACACACTCAGCAAGCTAAACTACTTTAGGGGTCTGGAGTATCCCTTTAAAATGTTAAATTTGCTCTATAAATTGTGTTGCTGATGATAGTCCCGAGTCAATCTACTCTACATATTTTGAACCTGTAGTTATAGATATTTTGCTACTTAATTTTCTGTTCAAAAGTTTAATATTTTTCAGTTTATATTTATATTCCAAGATTTGTTTTCTGCTGCAACTATTTGATTTACATTCACTTTACAGAATTGTCAATAAATAGAACCTTTATTTTAAATTCTCAGAGTTGTTGCCTAAGTTATTATCAAAGCATTACGATTACGAAAAGGGATGGGGCTTATAGATGGAGAGGTAGGGGTTGTTGCCATAGAAACATGAATGCCTGGGATGGACATTTGTAAAAGGGAGGAGTTAGTAATATGACCACGCCCACCAGGGGGCGCCAAAAAAAGTCTGCACCCAGGCGTCTGGGACCCCAGGAACGGCCCTGTGTGTGGGTGAAGCCTGACCCAGCGCCGAGGCACATCGGCGCTGGATTCGGGTAAGTGACTGAAGGGGTTTTAACCCCTTCAGCCCCGCGGGAGAAGGACACTCTAGGAGTCTATAGTGCCAGGAAACCATAGGATCCCTTTAAGGCAAAAACATGTGCTATTCTTTTTCACTGTTATTGGGTGCTTACCCTTTAATGGGCAAATTTCTCAAGATACCAAGCAATCCTAATAGAGATTAAAATCATTAATTAAAGGCTCTTCCTGTGCATATTGCCTAGTCAGTGGTGAGCCATTGATGGGTTCACATGGATTTTTTTCCCCCATCTCTCTCTCTAGGATGCAAAAAAGGGAGTATATCTAGTATAATTTCTCTCTTTTGCACTTTAAGCACTGTCACTCTAACGTCCGGTAATATGTCTATTCTATTTTTCCCTATTCGTTGTCCTAAATTCAGTGTTTTAGGGCATACTAACAGTGATCTGTTTAAATTTAATTTAGAATTTTGTGTTTTTATGGCCTAAAATGTAATATCCCCTTTTCCAGATCCTGACAATACCCAGTTTAGTGGAAACCTTGACAGTGTTTAGACACAAGATCCCCAGGACAGTCTTTCTCAAAGCAAGTGTTTAGAGGGTGGTTTAACCTTTACTGAATTGATTCTTGTCTCAGTAATGTATTGCACATAGTATTGTCACTCAAGAGCTAGCCTTGCCTCAAGCATACCTGTCTGTAAGCACATCCTTATCTGGTGCTCCATGACAAGAGCTTGATTAACATAAACTGAGGCTCCAGGCCCAAACATTGCAACAGGCCGAACCCCCTGATGTGTATTTTTTTTTCTATGATCTACTGCTGCTCTGATGTTTTCAGTGGCATACTCATAGGGTGTTCCCAGGGGCCCTCCTGACCCGCAAAGCAACATTGAGATTAGGTTGTTATATTGCCTGTAGTGGTCCTTTGCTTTGTGTCACTAAGGCTTAATACTGTCATCCTGAATCGTATTTTTAAGTAAGATATGTAACTTATTAAATATCAGCCAGTTCATCCAGTTCATCTAGACTCATAGCCATACGTGAAGATTATCATACATAAAGCAGATACTAGGTTTGGCTGCATTCAGTTGTGAGAATCCAACTAGAATAACCTTCTACACAGAACACTACTATGACTTTGACTGTGTTATGTATTCTCTGCTCAGTTGTACATTTCCAGAGAATCCAAAGCTGTGTTTAATAGGCTGTGCCAGTCCTGGCCTCTACAAATATATATGGCCATGTACAGTTGTTTAGAAATGAGAGGCATACTTCCCCCCTCTCCTCCAGTTTCCCCCTTCTATTGCCAAACTGGTATCATTTTTGTGTGTGTCTTATTTTGCACACTCACACACACATACAACCCTATTTTCTTCAATAAACTATGTGCAATTGCTCACATTCATATACTAGAATCTTCCTTTTACAAGGTGCACTCAGTGGTTTGATCTGACTGATCACACATGAATACAGAATATATTGCCTGCTCTAAAACATTTCTATTAATTTATGCAGTCCCTCTTTTGTTGATTCATTTATTGTAATAGTCTGTCTGTCAAAAATATTTTAATATGTTTGTAACACATAAATGTAAAAAAGTAAATAGATTAGCACTGGAAATAATTTACTGCTACAATAATGTCTGGCACTGTTACCAGATGTTGCACCCTGGATAGAAACATAGAAACATTCCATAGGTCATTTCTCACAACCTGCTATTTGATGGTATAATACATTCTTTCATTGCAATTCAGATACAAAAAAAATCCAGGATCTCAACCTCTCATGACAGAAACATGATTACACTAAAAGATGAAAAGAGGTTTAGTAGATAAATAGCTATAAGCAAAAAGGAAAGAAAAAAACCTGAATAATTGATATGCTTGTCCACTCAACAGGAAGGATTCTGAGATCATCTTGTTTCAAGGAGTCCCAGTTTTACTTTCAAGATTACTGAAGCAATATTGGCAACTTTTCTGATATTATTATTATTATTATTATGTTATTTATATAGCGCCATCAAATTCCGCAGAGCTTTACAATGGGTGGACGAACAAACATGTAGTTGGAAAGGGGGTCAGCAGAGTATTTGGGGGGAGGGGTCAGCAATAAATTAGATTGGGGAGGGGGTCACCAGTTTACTAAATTGGGGGAAGGGTGTAAGCAGAATAATAGATTGGGGCAGGGGGTCAGCAGAGTATTAGATATGGGGTAAGGGGTCAACACTGTGTATTAAAGGGGGGGCAGCGCAGGAAAGAATTGAGGGCAGGAAAGAACTGGCTTGGGAATTTGAGATGAGGCAATGATTATATTTGTGACATTTATATTTGTGGCCCAATTCCCCGCATAAATATAATATTAAAATATAACATTACACCTCAGATGGGGGACTTGGGCATGGGCAATGATATATGTTAATATTATATTATGTAGGGGTTTAAAGTTAGGCAACTTGGGCTGTCGTGATGATATATTTTAATATAATATTTACGTGGTGGGTTTAAAGGCAAGGTGGGAGGGCTTGGGCTGAGTGACTTATATATTTTAATTTTATGTTTATGTGTGGGAAAGGAACTGTAAATAGAGGGAGCTACAGGGGTGAGGGAATTTATATTTTGTAATATATTTATTATGAACTGTGGAGGGAAAGGGGTTGGGATGAGAGCATTATGTATTGTATTTATGGGATTTAGGAACTTTAGAGTGATGTTATAATATATAGCAATATTATATCTTTTTATTGTTGGTTTAGAGCAGGTGTTACCTTCGGTACTACAGATGTTTTGGACTACATCTTCAATAATGCTGCTAAAGTATCATGGGAGGTGTAGTACACAACATCTGGAGTGCCAAAGGATGTCTACTCCTGGTTTAGAGCATAGGTGTATAACCTTTTGGCTTCCCCAAGCCACATTAACCCCTTAACGTTGTTACGTTGTTCTATGCCGTCCGCATTTTAATGGGCTTTAAAGTCGTTGCAGAAACCTTGATGTTGCGGTACTTGTCTGGGAGCTCTACATTCCTGCTTGCTCGGACAATGCGTTCCTTAGCGTTGAAAAAGTGAATCCTTGCTATGACGTCCCTCCCGGTGGATGTAGGTAAATGCTTCAGCCTTCAGAGGCGTTGTGCTCTATCTGTGAACAGTTGGTCCGGGTGTACTTCTGGAGAAATAAGTCCTGAAGGTAATCATTCAGCTCAGCATTTGTAATTGTTTCAGGCATCCCTTGGAAGCGGAGGTTATTCCTCCTAGACCTATCCTCCATATCTGTGATTTTAAGCTTATGCGTTTCCAGCATGTTATCCATTTCACTCAGTTTGTCCACCAGGTTATTTCCAAATGTGAGGTACGGGTTCCAATATCCTGGATATCTTTCCTTAGCTCCACCGTCAGGGTTTGTATCTGCAGCTTTGGTTGCCTGGATGGTGTCCAAGAATTCAGACATCTTAGCCCGCATTGTTAGGACCGTTAAAGGCTGTTCCCCTGCAGAGGATCCTGGTGAGGCTGGAGGGGAACACGAACCTTCCCTTGAGTGCGTCTCACCGCCATCTTGCAGAAGGTTAGGGCCTTCCCGCTGTTTGGGTGCCGCTGTCTTGTAAAGGAAGAAGGACGCCTTGTCTGCATTCACTGATTTGATTTTCTGTCTCTGTGACATGTTGTCTCAGAATGTTTTAACAAAAAAATGGTAGACACTGCCGACTGCCAGCCATGTGCAATAGATTCATGCAGTCAATACAAATACAAAAATAAGGTTGCTCATGCTGAAGCCCTTTTTCCAGGGGCTAATAAAAAAATATACTATAGTAATGAATGAGGAGCACAACCAACTAAAATAAATATTTTAGTTGGTTGTGCTCCTCATTCATTCATTACTATAGTATGTTGTCTCAGGATGTCTGGCGTTTGTGTAGGGATTGTTGCTCAGTAGACCGATTATTTAGCTCTCTGTATCTCTCGTTTGGCGGGAGCTACACCGACATGCGACCGTACAGATCGAGCGCCAAAGCCACGCCCCACAGTTGTTGTTTTTTAAAAGTCATAACTCCTTTTATAAGTTTTTATCCTCTAAACTTTAGAAAACAGTTTGCACATTGCAACCTCCTAATGCAGAGCTGTCCAACATTATTATGTTATTATGTTATTATTTATATATCGCCAACAAGTTCCGCAGTGGTTTACAGTGGGTGGACAAACAAACTTTACGGTATTTAAACTTTATTGGATTCTAAAGGTTTTTGCACATTTTGTACCGTTACAGAATTAAAAACAACATATTTGCACTTTTTTCCCTCAAAAAGTTTATTATAACTGTTAATATTTAATTACTATATAGAAAAACACTTTGCACTTTTTGTTACCTCTAAAAGTTTATTTGCACTATTTATCTACTACTGTTTTGTGTGTTTATGAGTAATTTATAAATGTTAAGTTTATAAAGTTTGGAAACAGTTTGCGTCTTCTATACTTTGCAGTAAGATTTCTTGATTATTCTTTATTTGGACAATTTTGATTGGACAGACATAATTGCATTGGATAATGGTCTACTGTGATATTTGAAACAATGGGTGTTCGACATAAAGAGCTATTGTGGGGCAAAGTTTTAAATGTAGTCTAATCACCATGTCTGTGTGTGTGTATGTCTGATTGTGTGTATGTTTATGTCCGATTGGGTATGTGTAGGTCTGTCATTGTGTGTGTATGTGTGTGTGTGTATGTCTGTGGTTGCGTGTATGTTTATGGTTATGTGTATGCATTTGTTTGTGATGGTGTGTGCGTGTGTGTCTTCATTAGGTGTATGTATTTGTGATTGTGTGTGTCTGTGATTATGTGTTTCTGTGATTATGTCTGTGATTATGTTATGTGTGTATAAAAATGTGTATGTGTTCAGTAGATAGCTCCCTAATTTGGTATCCTTAAATAAGGAAAGCCCATATATGGTAGTTATCTACTAAACAACTGATCACAATTGAGAAAAGGGCTTTTCTTAATGTTGCTCTTTCAGCTGTTTAGTAGAAACCTCACTTAATTAGATATGAGGTAAGCAATCTTTTATTAATTACATTTTTTTTTTTTTTAAAGCAAACGGGGTAGATAAAGGGGATGGGCCAAAATGAATCAATCTATAGTGCTGAAAAAAATATTACTATTTTTAGCACTATAGATTATATTTAAGTTTTAAATGTCAAATAACAGCTGCTGTTATTGCCATCTAGTGGCAGGAGATGCATAGTCACAATATTTGCACTGGTCTGGTACACCAAAGTGCCAACATGACTTGGTATATGCTTGGCTTTCCATATTTGGCATTTTCACATGTAATGATACAAAATTAGCGGCTGTTTAACATACACATACAACCCCATAAAGATAGCAAATATGGGAGTTATCTACTAAACAGAACCTATCCTGGATACAGGTTTACAGGAACATTTTTGCTATTTTCTTTATTTTCTAACAGGACTATGATGGTTATTCTGAGCAAAAATAGTGTTTTATTACATCACATTTTTTTTTTGGTTGAAATAACCCTTTACCAATAGGTAAGCATACCTTTGATTTCACATTTATAAATTAGATGGTTACATTACCATTCTTCGATTATGGTCAATGGTAATATCAGATGTACGTTTCTTTTAATTCTTTAAATAATTTCTATAAATTTATTTGGAGACCACAAATCATAATAACTCAAGCGTGGAATGGATAATATCTGTATTGGAGGCAATCATTTAATGAAACAAACACAAGTTGTCTTCCTTCCTGCAAGATCCTTCCCTCTGATTCTAAAATAAACTGATCGATACTTATGTAGAGGAACTCGGTGAGATTGATGTTCTATTTTAAGGAGTTCACCTTTCAAGGGAAGAATTTTAGCAGTGAAGTTATGGAGATGAAGTTTCCTAGCTGCAACGGCCTTATACCACTGCTCGCCTGAAGGACTAGCTTTATGTTATTATGCAAATAAAACTTGACATCTTAAGCAATACTGGTCTTCAGAAAATACTTAAAGGATCACTATAGTGTCAGGAAAATAAAACCTGTTTTCCTGCCACTATAGTGCCCTAAGGGTGCCTCCACCCTCAGGGTCCCCCTCCCTTGGTGCTGAAGGGGTTAAAACCCCTTCAGCCACTTACCTTTAACCAAGCCCAGGCTCCCTCGGCGCTGGTGACCTCTACTCCCCCGCCGATGTCCGCTCCAGAGTGGAGCGGAATGCGCAATCGCGGCAAGTTCCACGTGCGCATTCAAACAGTCCATATGAAAGCATTTCTTAATGCTTTCCTATGGACGCTCTGCATGCTGGATGCGAAAATCGCATCCGGCGTCGCGGAAGTGCCTCTAGCGGCTGTCAGGAAGACAGCCACTAGAGGTTGGAACTACTATGTTTACATCTGAAGGGTTAAAACCTGAGGGACCTGGCACCCAGACCACCATTGAGCTGAAGTGGTCTGGGTGACTATTGTGTCCCTTTAATTGTTTCTCTGCATTTATTTACAGTTGTTCATATTACATTTAAAAATATTAAATTTAATACAACAAAAAAGGCTTATTTATCTCGTGTCTCATTTATAAGTGTCCAAGATGGCAGTTTTGAGAAAAGATAAAAAACAACACCACACAATTCAGAATCGTAATAAAAGTTAAAAAAAAACATTGTTCATTTCCATAGTAACTGCTGCCCCAAGGTTTCCATTTTCTTAATCGAACCACTTGGCGATTACTTACTCTCTTACTCGGGTAAGTTTCAACTAGTACACAAGTACAGTATTCCGCACCTATTTTCAAGTTCCCTTTAAATGTTATAACCTTCTGGTGAAGCTTTACTCAATATTGAAAAGTTACACTGCAAACATAAAGTACTACCAAATATGTATCAGGGGGTCCCAAATCTCAATGTGGCATTGGAATACGCAAATCCTGGACTGCTGGAAATTAGTGAGAGTTGCATTCCCAAATGGCAGCAGTTATTTGCAGTTGCCTCCATTAATTTAACCAGTATCTTCTCATACTGATATAAATAATTTTTCTCCATTTAGATCCTCTCCTGTTATATTATTATAAGGAGACAAGTGAATTAAAGGTACAGGCTAACGTTTGGAATATTAACATGTGTTCCTAACGTTAGCGTGATGTGGGAGCTGTGTTGATTTAGAACCACCACCAAATATATAATAAAATAATTAGTTTTACTTACCTCCTTACTTATCATGAAAATTATCATTACTGATGATCTCAACCAATCCATTGTTTCCCCCTAGTGAAGCATTTGGGGACTTGTGTGCATCCACAGCAATCGCCACACTGCACCAATCAGCATATTCATAGAGATACACTGACTCAATGCTTTTCTATGGGGAGGGGTCAGATTCTCCATGCAGAGGGTGGAGATGCCAAACATTGAAACTGCAACCAGGAAACCCGATTAGTGGCAGTGTGAGTAAATGTCACTAGTGGCTTTAAGCAGCAATGTAAATACTGCCTTTTCTCAGAAAAAAAAAAATGTGTTTCTGCTGAGGACACTGCAGGAATAGTGATTCCGGTGCTTAGAGTGTCCCTTTAAGGACAGCAGTCCAAATGGTTCCCACAACTCTCAGGTAGAACAGGTGTCATTAAAAAGAAAAATCAGTAAACCCTTATCCTAGCCCTAACTCTAAAAAAAGATCATACAAAAGATACATAACACTGAAGAGTGATTTGTACTCCTTGACTTCTGGTAACATGTATAAACCACTTGACTTTCAGTCTTATAGTTTACTATGTTTTCTCTAGAACCCTGGAATGAAATTATCTACAAAACATGAGTCTGCTAAGAATTTGAGAGATTATTGTAAATAGTAAGCCTAGTAAGTAAGTTAGCAAGTAAACCCAGCTGATAATGAATTATGAATTTATTCATGAAATTCTAAAACTCAAATTGTGACCTCCGGTGTTTCATAGCTGAGGAACTGGCATTTAAAAGATCCGATTTATATTTATAGCACATATAGTTCAGTCTACGAATTGTAACATAATAAGACACTTTCTATTGGGCAGAGACAACAATTGGCATTATTGCTGTAAACTGTCAGTGCTGAGATTAAGCCCCCCAATGTTGCTACCATAGGAAAACTATAAAAATATCTCTCTAGACTGGAGCCTCTTGTGTAAATCTATATCTATAATATCTCTCTCTCTTTCTCTCTCTCTCTCTCTATCGAACATCATATATCTCCTTAAGAGATCCCTCTCTACATATCTCAAAACAGAATGCACGTGTCATGGTTGATTATATATTTCTTACCTGTTCTATGTTAAATTTTGTATATATTGTGTATTAATATTGTTTTTGTATTTTATTGTACCCTGTTGTATCAATGCAATGTTTTGTGGACCCAGGACATACATGAAAACGAGAGAAATCTCAATGTATCTTTCCCGGTAAAATATTTCATAAATAAATAAATAAATCTATGAACATGCAATGGGCCTTTATCCACTGAGACCATCCTTATATAACAATCATTATTATAGGCATTCCTCATTAAAGGACCACTAAAGCCAAACTTTACCTTCAGTCCGCCAGTGAGCTGCTTTTTCCAAGCTACTCCTTCCTGGCTAAGTTCATCAATAGTTCTGTAGAGTCAACAATGTTTTCATGGCTGAGTTAAATACACCTCTAGTGTCTACCAGACAGCCACTAGAGGCACTTTTTCCTCCAAAAATGAGTAAAACACAGCCCTATATAATGCCTATATGCAATCGATCGATCATTGGATGAGAAGGTGGCTGCAGGAGAGGAGTCCCGGTGTTGCAAACAAGGTAAGTAATCTTTATTTAACTAACTTTCTTTCATAGCAAATGGGGGTGGACAGAAATATAGTCCCACCAAAAAAAATAGATTTTTTTTTTTCATTTCA